TTCTCCAAGGTTCTCAAACGCAAAGAAAAAAAAAGAGGAACGTATTTGATTATCAAATATTATCGATTCCCTCCTCAATAAGGAAAGTCTTTTATCAATGTTTCCATGATTTTAGATCTTTCTTTACTCGCTGATTGCTTATTGCTGATTGCAAGTTTTGCTCGTTTCATAGTTGTCCACTAACTCGAGAAGAAGACGTTTGAATGGTCCATTCTCTTGGAAATCTACTTTGCATCGTTCGTCCGTTTCGTTTTTCGCGTGTTATTTTTACTGAATATTTAGAGAGGAATTATCTATTCATTGTACACTGCTTCATCCATCCGATAGAGATCTAGGCTGCTTTTTATTATCTTTCTCATTAAGATTTCACATTAATAGATGTTTAAGATATGAGAAACTAGTGTTTTATTGTATAGATATAATGACCTCATTTCTTGCTTCACATATTTTGTTATGTTACACATGATGAATTTATTGATTGATAATAATGTGTACGTGCGTGCCAAATAAGACGTAATCACATTGTCTTATCTAATATCAACGTTTGCTCGATTATCGGTTAGAAGATTTGCAAATATTTTTACGATTCATTCTTTTATTTTTTTAACATACTTTTTTCTCTATATTTCAATGTTAACAAAGCAAAAAGAGAAAATTTTATTCATTTTATCAATGATAAATTTCACTGATTATTTTGCTATGATAAGATTTATTCTAGATAATATAATTGATATTGTACCATCTTTGAGTTTTATTTGATGATGAAATATACAGTACATTTAACAATTCTCGAGAAATTTAATGGAAATCGCGATTTTCTAAGCAATCTTCTTTATATTTTACGAGCAAAATAAAATAGTTCAATCGCAAAATGGTCGCTTCGCACCACGCTTTATTTTCTGTTATATTTGGTACAAACTGCAGTTTGTAAGAAATATTATCTCTCTCGTTGCAGGGTAAGGATTAAATCGCTTTGAAGATGGGGGCGATGTTCAGAAGCGAGCAGATGGCCCTTTGCCAGCTGTTCATTCAGCCAGAGGCGGCTTACCTTTCTGTTTCGGAACTTGGAGAAACCGGTACGGTGCAATTTCGTGATGTAAGTTAAACTAGATATAATCTCTTCAATCCTATTTAATGTAACCAGTCTGCTTACCTATAAACAATTTAAATGTGCCAACCGATGCGCTTGACAATTCGAAGTTATTTTAAAATCATGTTTTCTATTTGATATTATTTTTAATGATCAAATAATAAGTATTTATAGTAAGTACTTATTCTTATTTTATAATTAGTATATAAATCTCATATAAAATATAAAATTTTTTATAATGCGTTTTGAAGTTTCATTCTATGAAGGTGTGTTGCGTGATTGTTCAGATAATCGAATTTTGATAAATGCATATGCTAGAAAAAGTAAAAAGTCAAAAATGTGTTTGTTCAAGCATCATTGAAGAGTTAATTAATATGAATTTTTCTGACTACTTCTCGGGAACTAATTACGTGAAACTTTGACGTCTAATGTCTAGCTGAACGGCAACTTGAATTATTTCCAACGAAAATTCGTCAACGAGGTCCGACGATGCGATGAACTGGAGCGCAAGCTTCGATATATCGAGGCGGAAGTCAAAAAAGACGGCGTGCCGATCCCGGATAATCTTACGGAACTACCCCGCGCACCCAATCCACGTGCGATTATAGATCTCGAGGTAAAAGATCTGCAGAATATTTTGACAATTTATTTTAATTGTATAAAATAAATCTGAATAAGAATATATTAACAAAATAGATTCCTGAGAATCGATCCCCGCGTTTTTGAAATCATCTAATAACACGTTTACAAAATATAATATATTCTGTAATCGAAATGTTTCATATTTTATTCCGTGATGAAAAATACACCTTCAAATGGTTGCTATTAAAATAGCAAATGAAAATTTTATTTGGTCATAGACAAGGACCGAATGAGCTATATGTATTATTATTATTATAAAAATATTATCTTGATATTTTGCATATTGTATACTGTATTGTGCACTCGATATCAATCGCATTCTTTTTTTATTAAAATAGGCCCACCTCGAGAAAACGGAGAACGACATACTAGAGCTGAGTCAAAACGCGGTGAACTTGAAGAGCAACTATCTCGAGCTGACGGAATTACAGCACGTGCTCGAGAAGACGCAGTCATACTTCACGGAGGTACCTAAAGTAGTTCAGCAGCTTTTGCTCGTAGCGCCGTCCTCCTTCGTGTAATCGATGTTACCGATGTTTTGTCGAAGAATCAAGATTCGTATCTTCTTCTTCTATATCAACAGGAAGAGGCCAATGACTCGATTACCAAGGCGCTGATTAACGAGGAAGCACTGAATCCCGCCATTACGACTCGCGGACGTCTGGAGTAAGTTATGGCCACGACGGAATCGCCAGATAAGCCGGACCTCTCTCGCATGTTAAATATAACATGTTAATATATTAAGCGGGCATGTGTGACGTTTAATAATATTAAAAGGACGCGTAAGCGGTCCCTTTGTGCGCGTAAGCGCTCCCCATGCTCCCCAGGTTTATACGCGCATCTATTCCAACGGGATTTGTCCTCTAGGATAATAAAACCTTATATTAAGGTTCATCTAAGTTATTTAAAGAATAATTTTATTTTATTAAAAATTGTGCAATTAATTGTGATGGCGCAGAAACTGAATGAAAATATTTAATGTTGAATAATATTCCTATTTTAACAAAATTTAAATGTATGATTACTAGAAGGTCTTTTAAATGAAAGAATCATTTTCAATTTGCTATAAATCTATGTACATAATTTTTTTATTTATTTTATTTTTTGTTTTATTATATTTCCGTATATGCAAGTTGTTTATAATAAAATAATGTAAGAGACGATAGATTTAAATCTTTCTCTTTGAGCAATTTTATTTTATGTTTGTTTCTGAATGATACAAGAGTTTCTGCGTCACAATTCAAAGCGTGTGCGACAAATGAAGGACACTGTTCTATTCACAATACACGTATGAGCAATTAATTGAAATAGCTATAACACATTGCTTGATAAATCAACGTTATGATATTTAATTTCCTGCAGATTCGTCGGCGGGGTAATAAATCGTGAACGAGTCCCAGCCTTCGAGAGAATGCTCTGGCGTATATCACGTGGCAACGTTTTTCTTCGGCAGGCCGAACTTGATAAACCACTGGAGGATCCGGCTACGGTTAGCTCTGATTCCTCTTTTATCTTAATGCGAAGAAATTACTTCATTTATCATGTTTGCTCATCGTTGTCGGTTATTCATACACGTGAAAGAGATGCAACGTACAATATCAAAATGGAATTAACGGACCTTGAAAGATTAATTTAGCTTTGCTCTGATGACACATCGCGAAATGAAACATCGTTGTATGTTGCTCGTCGATGTGCCTGATTCTTTTTTTTTTTCCGCGAATGTTTTCAGGGTAACGAGATCTATAAAACGGCCTTTGTGGCATTTTTCCAAGGGGAACAATTGAAGAGTCGTATTAAAAAAGTCTGCACTGGCTTCCACGCTTCACTCTACCCGTGTCCCACCAGCCATGCAGAACGTCAGGAAATGTTGAAAGGTGTGCGAACGCGGTTAGAGGACCTTAAATTGGTGAGATTGTTACATCGAAAAAAAAATTAGAAACATTAATATTTGAATAAAAATTCAAATATCTATTTTTTTATGAAATATATTGTTGGTTATCGCGCTGAATTTTACTTCAGGATATATTGTAGACATTTACCTTGTTAGATTCTGTAATTAATTAATAAAAACATATAATTAAAACATAATAAACACGTACAATTAAATTGAAGAAATAATATTTGAGTATTCGGATAACTTTTTTTCTAAAGGTATTAAATCAAACGCAAAATCATCGCCAACGTGTTCTACATAATGTAGCGAAGGAATTACCAAACTGGAGTATCATGGTGCGAAAAATGAAAGCTATTTATCATACACTGAATTTGTTTAATATGGACGTGTCGAAAAAATGTCTTATTGGAGAATGTTGGATGCCTCTTGCCGATCTCGCGACTGTGCAGCATTGTCTCACAGAAGGATCGGTTAGTATACGAATGTATTAAAAATCCAATCTTATAGCATACGGAATGTAGACTGTATTTTTCATCGTTAGTTTAATTATTTTAAAAATGAAAAAGTTGAACGCGCGACAAAAGACAATAGCGACAAATTAATTGCTGACAATTAGCTACAAACAATGGTATACTAGATAGAAATATAACGTACGTATTATAACGTCAGTTATAATAAGAGAAAGTTTATTAGAAGATTAGAATTAAATTAAATATTTTTAAATAGATCGTTAATTTCCGTGCAGTTGCATATTTATAAAAATAATTTTATAAACTGTATAACAAATAATTTTATCAACTAATTTATAATTCATTGAGATGTAGAGAGCATTTTTATATCAAATTTTTAATCTATTTGTAAGGTTACAGCAAGACTGAAATATAAGATGCAAATTGTAAATAAACGTGGAATATGTTTTTTTAGCGACAATGTGGAAGCTCCATACCATCTTTTCTCAATGTGATTCATACGGATGAAAATCCTCCGACGTTCAACAGGACAAACAAGTTTACGAAAGGTTTTCAAAATTTAATTGATGCTTACGGTGTGGCATCGTATCGTGAAGCTAATCCGGCACTTTACACTATTATTACGTTTCCCTTTCTGTTCGGCGTTATGTTTGGCGATGCTGGCCATGGTGAGTAAACTCAGGCGAGTGAACGAATACGCGAAAAAGATATATTTTTGTGCGTTAAATTATTATTAATAGCATGACTTGTTGTGTTAGGGCTGATACTGACGCTTTTTGCCTTGGCTATGGTCCTGAAGGAAAAACAGATTATCGCGCAAAAATCAAATGGCGAAATTGCGAATCTATTTTTCGGCGGTCGTTACATCATCCTTCTCATGGGTTTGTTTTCCATATACAGTGGTCTTATCTACAACGACATATTTGCAAAGTCAGTTAACATATTCGGATCTAGTTGGAGGAATACGTATACGTTCAATGAGACACAATCAAACAAGGCACTGCAATTGTCGCCAGACGCGAATCAAAACTATTTGCAGTATCCTTATCCTCTGGGTGTAGATCCGGTTTGGTCTCTCGCTCAGAACAAAATTGTATTTCAGAATTCGTTCAAGATGAAGCTGTCGATCATTCTCGGCGTCGCACACATGATCTTCGGTGTCTGCATGAATGTCGTTAATATATTGTAAGTATTGCAATCTTAACGAACAGAAAGAATCGCGAATTGTAACAATATATTGTTGTTAAAAAAGATGTTGCTATCAATAGTCAATATATATGTTAATATATACAACAATACATTAATATTTTGCATAGCGTTTCTTGAAAGTTGAAAAATCGTTTATTAAAGAAATTTTATGTAGAAATATATATATATATGATCAAGTGATACTTGAATGGTATTTCGAAATAATTGAGCAGAAAATATTTCCGAAAATTTCTATTTGAATTAATACATTTATTCTTTTAAAAAATTTGATCGAAGTTTTCCGCGATATTTGTGCGGCGCATTATTTTCTGCGTTGTTATTTTTCCAGCTATTTCAAGAGATACGCCAGTTTGTTTCTTGAGTTTTTGCCACAATTATTCTTCCTTGTCTTGCTGTTTTTCTACATGATTATCCTGATGTTTATCAAATGGATTTTGTACGACGCTTCGTCTGATGGTAAGTATTAATTTAGCTTTGAATAAGTAATTGCAATATACATCCCTAATGCAATATGATATATTGTAACGCAGATATAGGACGAAAGCCAGGCTGTGCACCGTCAGTTCTGATTACATTTATTAACATGATGCTTTTCAAAGATGCCGTTGTACCTGCAGATTGTTCTCAGTATATGTTTAAGGGACAGGATATTTTACAGCTAGTTTTACTTATCGCCGCTGTCTTATGCGTTCCGATAATGCTTTTTGGGAAACCATTATTTACTATATTTTCAAAGAAAATTAACCGCCCGGGAAAGATTTTCGTAAGTAACTCGTTGATTTGGCTTGCATCGTTTAATTATTATTACATACTTATAAAATTATTGATGATTTATTAATTGTGCTCACCATTTCTAGAGGTGAAAAAAAATATTTTTTTTATTTTTATATCTCGCACGTGCATTACTTGTTTAGAGCAACGGGAGTGCGTCTCAGGACATCGAGTTGCAGGCCCAAGGGGTGCAAAATCCAGGAACTAGCAACGATACAGCAGCGAACGAACACGGTCACGAGGATGACAGCTTCGGCGAGCTGATGATTCATCAAATCATTCATACTATAGAATACGTTTTGTCTACCATTTCGCACACTGCCTCCTATCTGCGATTATGGGCCCTGTCATTGGCTCACTCGCAGCTATCAGAAGTGCTTTGGAATAGATTGTTGCGGATGGGCTTAGGCGCCGCGGAGGGCCAGTATGTTAACAGTGTCATGCTGTTCATCACTTTCGCCGCCTGGGCTTTCTTCACTGTTGTCATTCTTGTCTTGATGGAAGGCCTCTCGGCATTTCTTCATACACTTCGACTTCATTGGTATGTACGGCGTACCAGACTGTTTAAAAAAATTTGTCTTTTTTTTTCAATAAAATTTAATTTCAAGCAAAGCTAGGAAAGTTCAAAACTTCGAAAATTTTCCAAAGAAAATTGAGAAATATTTTCTAGATAGAAGAAATTAAGTTTAACTCAATGTTTTGCTCAACAAGAATTATTTCCAACTGAATTGATATCACGATTTGACGAATAAAATAAATCTTTTTCTAACATTAACTTTTAATGATTCTAACATTAACTTTTATCTGTAATTATTTTACCAAGTTATTTACTATCATGGTGTTAACGGGATAAAAAAATCTAGAAAATTAAGATATTTTACTCTGCTGCTTTTTGCTGTTATTTAATATTTTTTTGTGCTCTAGGGTTGAGTTTATGAGTAAATTCTACGAGGGCTTAGGACACCCCTTTCAACCATTTTATTTTAAGACTATCTTAGATGCCGAGGATGCCGAGGAATAGAATCGCCGCTAGTCTTCACAGCAATAATTGTAAAATATATAATTACTGAATATCATGCGCGAAGATTTCTTTATTTTAAATATTTTCATATACACAAGGTCTTGTCTTGTTGCCTAGGGAAATATAAGAAGGATCAAATTGTCATGGATTATTTTAAAAGAGTCTGACAATGTGCTTTCTTCTACAATTATACCCATCGATCACATGCCTATGTATGTTGGCCGCGCACGATAATTGCAATAAGAATTTTAAAAAATAGTTTTTCTTAATACTTTTTATATTGTGGATAACAATATCGAGAAATCGGTGAGCATTATGAAAGTTTATATGAAATATTCATAGATTTTTACTCTATTTAATTTAACTTAAAAAACTCACTTCTAAAGCTTCTAAATTTTGTCATTAGTAAAATTTTGCTAATTTTTATCTGCTTGTTTACTGCACCGTTCTTTTAAATTTCTTATAATTTAAGAAGAGAAAGTTCAACAATGTGTGCTTAATAAAACAAATTTAATTGCCATAATGATAAACCAATTACTTCGTTTCAACTAAAGTAAATTTAGTGCCAACTCTGTTTGTCCGACGTTAAATGGCCATAATCGCGGCATTATTTCGACGGAAGCGAGAAAGGAGCGTGAAAGATGCATGTGATTTAGCAACTATACTGCTGCTGATGCTGCCTAGTGCGCATTGAATTCATTCCATTAATTACCTAGTAACGTGGACATGCCACAGTCGATATAGCTCGTCATTAAGCACGTCGCGCATTGTAATATTTCATTAACGTCGCGTATATAGTCATTTTCCGCACAGAAAAGCAGCGATGAGAATTGTAACGTTGGGCGCTAAGATGATGAATCGAAATGGAGAGGTCGTAACGATCCCAATTACACTTGTGACATCGTACGATCCGATCGATTCACGACTCAGACGAGCGACAAATGTACATTTTTGTCGGTTACATTACTAGAGTACAAATCCTATCGAGTGATCGGTAACCAGAAGTATTCGAACTTGTGCGAAGTTACCATTACGACTGTATCCACCATAGATATTAATGCGACGTCTAAAAGAGAGCGATGTATGCATCCTCGTATGCGAGATATTCCAGAGATCTCGATCTTTATAATTTACGGACTTCTCGATCGTTTGCAATCAATTTTCTACAAAGAGCTTTAAATATCTTTGACCTATATAAGTTAGGTTTATATAAGTTAGATTTTTTTTATAAATCAAGTTCGGGTATTGCAATTGAAGCGGAAAATATTTAAATTTTTAAAATTTTCAATTAAAAATATTTAAATATTTGCACGTTGGAAATATTTGCTTTTATAAAATTAATTATTTATCTAAAGGATAAATAATTTAGTATTAAATATCAAAAATTGTAACAAGAGATGATTATTAAAAATTTTTCTTTCTCCTTTTTAAAAAGGAAAGATTGTGCCTTGATTTATATAAATTTATGAATTTTGTTAAAATCAAGATCGAGATCTCGGAAATAATTTGAATATATATAGATAAATATTCAATACATATTTTATCAACGTATTAAATAAATTGATGAGTATTGCATATATCGATGTATACCTGCTTTTCACCATTCTCCCTGTTTTTCATTTAATTTTAGAACCGACACCATTTACTGTCGCTAAGAGTTAAATAGAAAGTTGTAAAATAAATGTTGTGATTAATTATCTGCTGTAGGAGAGAGAAATGTGAATTTCATTTGTGAACATATATGTAGATATTCTTTTTAAAAAATGTCACGCACACTCGCACATAAAGCTGTGTCATATTTCTCATTAACTCATCATGCGTGTATTTTCATAATTAGAGCATAGTGCATTATAAATTATAAATGTCAGGACTTCTGTATATTCTGTAAATTATGAAAATTAACAATTTAGTTGAAAATATCGTCAAGTATCGTCATTAAATTTTTTAAAGTGCATAAATTTTTAACAAATTTATATGCTTAGTTTAAAAACAAAAATGTTTATTTTTCTTTCTTTATAATAATTATAATATGTGGCACTGTTTAGTAAACGTATTTAATTAATACTCGTAATTATTTTATCTTTACAAAGAATATAATTATAACAACGAAAGCTATTCGGATTATGCATGAAACGAAAAGATTCTCAATTGGCAAACTTGGAAACGCGATAATTAACGTTTGAAATGTGCTATTGGAAACGCAGAAATGTGCTATTGGATTTACGTCTTTTATCTTCTGTAGTTTTCATAAAGAGACGAAGAAATTAGTTTCCATCGAAACAGGAACAAGATGTTTCTTAAAATGTTTTAAACTTTTTCCAATTCAAAAAAGCCTTTAATCAAATTTTCTTGATCTTCGTTTAATCGGACATTTAGAATGTGCGGAATATGTCACCGTGCAGAAACAAATGAAAATTCGTATCGGCTTTTCTAATTAGAAACAATTTGACGCGATACGTTATACTCCTGCTGCTTGTAAACAAGTCACCGGGAATTCGCAATTAGGACACGTCCAGCTGTTTTACTGGTGCGTCCGAAGATGGTATCAGTTTAATTAAAGTCTGGAATAATTAAATCGTGACCATCTCCTTGTGAGAGAATTCATTATGATATATGCGCAAAATAATGTGCAAATATAAAAAATAATGCCTTTAATAACAATATACATGTCGAAGACTATTTTCTTAAATAATCTTCTTATTTTTGATGAATATGAACGTTTATTACAAAATGTACGCGAGATATAAATGTAAAAGATATCAATGAGATCTGCCTTGTACGCATTAAATCGATCGCAAATCTGCTTTTCCATCAATTCGAGCAAAAAGGATTATCAATTGTGTGAAGAAATATGGAAGGGCAATAAAAAGTCCCTATTCATCGAATTGAAAAGATGGTGCTTTAGCCGAACGTTACCTGGCAAATAAAAATTTGAAATTAATATCTGTCTTTATTATGTCTGTAGAGAAAAGAATGCATAAATCGAAGAAATATTTATGGCTGTTTGTCAGAGTTTTCTAATATTATTTCAGTGTTTTCTTAGTTAAATAATAACTGTATGGTGTCATTGATTAGTTAATCTAATTACACAATTAAGTATGATTGAATTAGATTAAATTAGATTAAACTGTAAGCAATCATATTTCTTCATTAAGATTATTCTTCATTAAGATTAAACAAATCCCATCGAAATCCCTATCAAATTTTGGAAGCTACGTCTATTGATCGAAACTATTTACCAAGTTATGGGGGATGAATGCCGTAGATCACTGTGCCGCAATCAATCTCGGCAGAGAGGGAAGAGACCGGGAAGAACCGGGGCACTTCAATTAGCTCGAACTAACAGCGAACTTCGAGGCTATTCGATCTTTATTGATCGCACCAAGGCTCTCGCCCTTCTCGTATTTCCTTCGCGATTCCTTTCCATTCGGACGCGAACCTCCGGGCACTTCCGCGATCCAATCCTACGGGAGATCGAATTTGCGGGTGGCGGTGTCGCATCGTGTTTGACAGAGATGCGCGCGCTGGTGCAACGTTTTCTGCGATTTATTGGGCGAGAACGGAGCGAGAGTTCAGTCGGCGACGCGCGCTCCTTGCCACCGTGTGTTCTCTATATATCCCGGGCTCCAGCATCCCTCGCGCATGGACCCGCACGCGCGCTCGATAACGCAGGTGAGTGTACGATCATCAGGGTCGGGATTTACATGTATAAGCTCTACGGTTTCACGATCGCGAGGAGTCGCGATCAGTTTGCCCCCCGAGGGGCACGTCCTACTTTCTGAAATGTTTCTCGGGCGGTTGTCTGAAATGCATTTCGCCTAGATTCCTCCTGGATACGCACAATGGATGAACGAAGAGTGAAGATATATTTTGCTCTGTTCTCCCGAATTTTCTCTTCAGATCTGCAATACGAATGAAGATATCCTATCTTGCCAACTATACTGTTTTCTTGTGAAATTTATAAAATTAAAAATTTGAGATCGTGACCATTTTATACATACATTTTACAGACATTTATTGATAAAGATCGTATTTGTAAATTGTTTATTTTTTTTTTATTCGGTTTAGCTTTCGAGTCGATGGAATTTCAAGATTACAGTTTAGAAATGCAGTACAGTTTAATCTCGCCGACACTGGCGACATTATGCATGCGTGGAATTTCGGGAATTTCAGGCGCGAACGCGTTTACAATTCCCTACTAATTTCGCATAAATGTCATATCGATCGCGTTTAAACGTTCTATTAATTATATTATTTCAAATTATTGCGTTGAAAAGGAGATGCAATCAGTTTGCGTTGCGCGGGTGGTGCTCGATAATTATTTTTAATCGTCGAAAACCAGGGAGAGGCACCACTGCGGAAAAACTTGTTGTCAAACGTTGCCATTATAACTTGCTTGCATAAATTACAACGCGAGAGATGCATTTTTTTTTTTAATAGCGAACGTAACTGCAAAATGCACTAGTAAATCTTATGAGTACGAAGCGCAGAAGCTCCGCGTGACATTGAAAGCCAAAAACTTTTGAAAAGTACATTGTACCCTAGTAATATTAAATGATGCCAGGTACTTTTTGATAAAAAATTAAATTAAAAGAAGAAATTTAGGATTTAGTTATTATTTTGTAAATATATCAGTAATTTTTAATTCTTTAATAAACAAAATGTTTAAGATGAATTGACTAAAATAAAAGTTACTTTGCGTTTTACTGATACAATTTAATTTTGAATAACTTGGTAAATTTCCAAATTCCATTTATATATAATCATCTTGAGTCAACTTGATATATTCACTACAGATATTTAAATAAAATATGAATGTATCTATTTAATTATATATAATATTAAAATATATTTAGCATAATATTATAATAATATTAATTATGAAATAAATTAAATAATCATACGTCCCTTTTGTGACAACTAAAGGTGTCCAGAGAAGAAGTTTATGAAATTTTCCCGAGAGATAAGATTTACCATCGTTAATTCAATGATGAAAAAAAAATCTGCGGATAACCGACGTGACCATTTTTCAAACTTTATGATTGGAAAAGCGTTGGGACGGGCGACAAAGTTTTTCCATTAGCTAGAAGAGGAGTGAGTCGACGGTTTCATCAGGATCGAGGATCTCCCGCGTCCTCCCGCGAAAGATCCTCTCTGAATTGCATCCTCGCCATTAAGATCATAGCGCTCTCCGAAGCGTTCCGCGTCCTTACGGTTATCTCGCATAATCCTTAAACTCCCTACGGGCAGTTCGTTTCGCTAAAAGTAGCGAGATAAATCGGATGTCAACAAATTTATTTCCCCGTTGATTCTTTCTCCCTCTCTTTCTGTCTCTCTCTCTCTC